TTTCTGAGTAAGAGTCTTAAAACTGAATACCTTCCAAGAGCCTTCCCCAAGTCCGCACATAGCGACCGAATATATGTCCCTTTGGAGCAAATAACCCGGAAGATCAAATTTTGTCTGCAAAAATACAATAAACATACATCAGATTAAAGGACATAAGAGCTCACAATTTATAAATGATCATAAATAGCTAAATTCTAACTCAGTGGCTTTGACCTTTAACCCAAGGTTACCAGGATGCACCGTACAATTTAGCCACGAGATGGTGTTAGAGTGACGAATTTGTTAATTACAAAGGCAACAGTAACCAAAAGCCATAAAAATAGGATACCTGTCATCTAAGCTGCGCTCAATGTCAAACTGGAAGATTGATATACGTCTAGGTGAAAGCTCAATGCTTTCTCCTCTTCTTGCTTTCTCATACATCTTTTCACCTCCAACCTATTGCAAGGTTAGTGAAACTTGTCAACAAATAAATATAAGCCTCAAAGTATGACTAAACCTGTTATAATCTACAACGTATGTAAATTTTGAAGGAAAAAAAAGGGTATCACGGGAAAGACGTTTTAAACACATATTCCCATGAACTTGCTGATTGTATCGCGATTCGTATTGAAATTCATGGAGAGCCAACTTGAGACATAAGTATACGTATACATGCATGTGAACTTAAATTCATGGACTCAGCTACATGGCCGCTAATACTTTTCTTAGCGTAATCATTATATATAGAGAAGAAATGCTTACTTTGATGGCAGAAAACATGGGAGGTACTTGCCAGATCTCCCCAGAAAAGGATGCAACAGCTTTCTTTATGTCTTCATCTTTGATATGCTCCCAGGGTTCGCGCTGAATGACCTGCATATGAGAGTGACGTGCAAGAAAAATTAGACCATGTATAAGTTTGCACTAAAATAAATAAACAACAAAAAAGGGTAACAACAGTAGCTCTTAGAGACTACGTCAAATAAGGCCATCCATCGGTCAAAATGTGGATAACTAAACAATATGGTTTCAGTTCTCACTTCTCATTATCTCGGAATTAAGAGAGTATAAGTATACATACAAGCATATAACTTTAGTATAAGATGAAACTCGCATTCATCAGAAAAAATAACACACCGGTGAATCTGCATCCCAAGTTGAAGTAGCCTCCCCCAAACGGAAAACTCCACTATACCCCTTGATCATACCTTGGTATCTGCAGTAATGTACGAAAATGTCGATTGACTATTGTAACAACCTAGGCACACTATCTCATGAGGCCTAATAGCAACTGAACTATATAAATGGCAAAGCATTCGAAAACTTACCCGTCTACCAACTTAGTGGCTTTACCAACACAAACAATTAACAAACCAGTTGCCATAGGATCAAGAGTTCCAGCATGCCCTACCTGTAATCCACCCGAAAATAAGTTACATGAGCATTTATTTACACGGCAAGGTATAACATTACAGCTAGAAAGACACCTTTTTCACTTTCACCAGGCGACGCAGCTTTCCGCAAACTGTAAAAGAAGTCCATCCTGTATTGCAAATTGCATTATGATTCCTCTATAAATAAACGAACAAATAAAGATGCGAGGAAAAATTACATGAACAAATTTTAATTCCAAACCAGATAAAATGGAAACGGGCACAAGAAATCGAAAGCCTCACCTTTCGGTTTGTTCACCAAAACCACAGTTCCATAAGGACCGTCCCATCTCGGAGGAAGCTCAGTATTCCTTGTTAAAAGATATGGCTCCCCATTACCATCGCCACTGCCAGCATCTTCATTGGGGACTTTCTTCAAACACTTAAAGAAGTCCTCCACCTTCTTCTCTGTCACATCTTTACTACTCACATTCTTCACGAATTCTCTCTCCTTCTTCTCCTCTCTCTCCGCCTGCTCAAAGAACACCAATCCCTTATCACCTTCCCCGTCTTTCGTTTTCTTCGGCTTTGCCTTCCCCTTCAAATTGACATCGCTATTGACGCCGGAATTTGACTCCCCTGGTTCAAGAAACGCCTTTTCGAGACACTGATCAGGATAGTACTTCTTCTCCAGCTGGTACACCATCTTGTAATGCTTCTCCTTCTCCCATGGATACGCAAACGTGTCGTAAAAGTACAATTCCTCCTCCCTCTTATGCAGCGTGTTGAACTCAACCACCTCCGGCTTGAGCTCCACCAAGCTCTCCTCCTCCTCCCGCCGCCGGTCCTCCTCCTCCGAATCCGTCCCGTACATCCTCTTCCTCCTCTTATTGTAGTACTTTCGCTTCGACTTGTCCATCTCCGCCGACGCCAGCTTCTCGTCGAGCCAGTTCTCGAACCCCAATTCCGACGCCGAGGTGGGTTTTTCCGGTAAGTCGGGTTCGGACTCGAGGGAGGTTTCGGAGTCCGGTCTGCTGACTCTGGCGGGTCGGCGGCGATTGTGGTCGAGGGAGGACTGAGTTGGGCGGTTGACGATCATGTCGTACTGAAGTGGGTAGGGAGTGGAGGTGGTTGAGAACGACGGCGTTTTGGGGGACCATAATCGGCAGAGTACGGTGCGGAGGTTGGGGTGCGGTCGCAGTAAGCGAGAGAGTGTGAGTGTGGGACGGAGGAAGAGGAGAGACAGAGAGACTGGCTTAGCCATCGGAGCTCTCAGGACAGGGGAGAGAGCTCAAGAGGATTTGGTGTCGTTTGTTATAATACGGAGAAGAGAAAACGGCGTTGCGTTTTATTTTGAGAAAATTGTTGAAATCGTCCATCAATTTTACTCAATTTGGGCAATGGTTATTCAATTAAAAATGCACATTTTAGTTATTTAACTCATCAAAACATGTAGTTATGATTATTTTTGTCAACTTCGTCAAAATCCAGACAAAATGAGTCATATTAGAATAATCATTGCTACAATTAGATTCAAGTTGAATGATCATTACTTCAATTTATTTCATTTGGTTCTTATATCCCGTGTATGGCACGTAACCATTTTTACAGGTGTCCTAACGAAGTTGATAAAAATGACTATAGATGCACGTTTTAATGCATTAAGGAACTAATCATCACGAATTTTTAATCGAAAGACAATTATTTCAATTAGATTAAAGTTCAGAGACCGTTATGCAATTTCTTCTTTTATAGTTGAAAAACCCTAAACGACAACGTTTAAAGGTTGTATTATGACACAGAAAGTCCACTGCGAGGGCATCTGGGGCAAGCAAAAATCATTTCTCACTTGAAGTTTCATCAAAATTCTCAAAGTTTTCAATTTTCCCGCTCGTGGCTTCCTGCAATAATGGAGTCTGCAGCAGCTTGGGTGGACGCCCAAGAGTGGGAGGTCTGCAACGACGACGGCTTCGTCTTTAAGCGGAGGAAGAGGCGCCGGGTCGACCCAGATGCCGACTCGTCGGCTTCCGCTCCACCGTCCTCTTCCGCCGCGGATCTACGGGAAGATCCCGAGAAACTCCGGAGAGAGCGGAGGAGGAAGTTTCTTCTCAAGCTCAGAGATAAGTACCAGGCGGAGATCGACCAGTGGGAACTTTTGTCAAGCACGTTGCGCACAATGGAGGAGAGAGCGCGGCAGCTTCAACGGCAACGAGAGGCGCAGCAACAGCGAACGGAAGAGGAAGAGCGACAGAAAACGGCGTCGTCGGATGGGCCTAGTGCGTTAGAGATTCAGGGATCGGAGTTCGGTTGTGGGTCGTTGGTGGATGAGCTTCTCTTGCAGGTGAATTGGGGGTTTCTTTCTTTTCGTTTTGGGATTGTTTGGTTGGTGGCAATTTTTGAAAATTGAAAGATTTTGGGGATTAGGGTTTATGCAAAGGTCGGAAATTTGAGCTCGTGACACCAATTTGGGGCTCAGCTGAGCTGATTTTCTATGACATCACTCTGATTTCTCAGTAACCAAACATCAATTGAGCTTTTAGGGTTTCTGTTCTTGTCTTCTTAATTGATTTTGTCATTCTCGCACTTAAAGTCTGTGGAGAAATTGAAATTTTTGATTCAATACGTTCTTAAATTTCTTTGATTTCTCAGCAAGCAAACATCAATTGAACTTTTAGGGTTCCTGTTTTTGTTTTCTTAGCATTCCTTAATTGACCCCACATGGTAAGTACATTTCTTCATCCTCCTTTATCTGTGCAGGTAGACGCACACGCAGCGATCATTCGTGATGTTTCAAGTCTCTGTGACACAGCGGACGCTCTATGCAACGAAGAAGAGGAACGGATTAGTCCGCTTTTCTTCGATATTCCGATCTGCAGTTCACCGAGGGAGCTCATGAGATCGTTGCAATGGTAGCCTGTCTTTATCAAATTCCCAAGAGGTAGGAAGTAGGAGGAGATATTTTTCGGGTTTATGAAGTAGGAGGAGATATCTTCTTTCGTTGCGATTTGGTATGAGTGAGTGATGTGTAGCCTACTAACCACAATAGGTGAATGAGGCCTAGGAACTGGAAAGTGCGTTCTATGCTGATTAGTGTGTGTGTGTGTATGTATGTTGTATATGTTCTATTGATTATATTTTGATTTCGATTCATGCTTTCGCATACTTGTAGCTAGACCTGTAAACGGGTCGGGTTTATTGGGTTTGGGTCGGATTCAACCCAACCCATTAAGTTAACGGATCATCCGAACCTAACCCGTTAAGCTAACGGGTTATCCGTTTCATCCGTCAACACCCGTTAACAAATATTATTATTATTATTATTTTTTTTTGCATAGAGTTTATATTTTGTTGTTAAGACTTTACTGAAATTACTAAAACATTTTCAACTAACAGGTGTTAATGGGTGTTAATGGGTTGACCCAAAATGACCCGTTATTTAACGGGGGGTTAACGGATTCACCCGTTAGTGACCCAACCTGTTAAACATCCATCCAAATACTAATATTAACGGGTTGGATCGGATTAGGTTAACAGATTGGATCCAAAATACCAAGTCTACTTGTAGCGATTGCTTTGCGTTTAGTTTCGCATATACTCTGTTTCGAAACGTTTGTGTTTAGAAAGACTTGCATCGATATCAAACACTCGAACAAAACAATCAACAATTCATAGATCGTTTCAATTCGTAGTTTTCTTGACGGATAAAAGACCAGGATTGATAGTTCTCACTGTACCAATACAAGGGAGTACTAAAAACTGTGTTCCTAAGCAAGAGAACTAAATCGAAAGACACCAACTCATTGCTTATTTTGACAAGGTTTGTAGGTCAACCTCGTTTAGAAGAGAGGGAATGACGTCTATCTGGTCAAGTTTAAAGCCAGCCTTTCGACACTCGTCCTCTAAGAGCTTCACTTGTGAAGGACCATCGGGGCAAAATACGATGACTGCCCCTCCGCTACCTGTGAATTTGGATGCTGCACCCACCCTCCGGGCCACCTCCACCATTTCTATGTTTAAAGCACCTAGAGCATCGTCTCCGAACATGCTTCTGCGCAACATCCACATACCAATATTGAGCATCAATAAAATGTACAAAGATAACAAATGCGAAGATGGTTCAAAATATACGATGTTAATCCAGCCCGACTACTATGGTGTCATGATGACAACGTAACACGTATAAAGACGCATATAAAAGAGCTTCAATGCTCAAAATCGAGCAATCAAATAACCGAACAATAAGTCAAAATCGGGCAATCTCAAACCTTCTAACGTCAAAATTTCTGTTCATGAGAGAAGCTAATTTAGCGTAGTCCTTTTCAAGTAAAGCCGTCCTTCCTTCTAGTGCAATATCTGCAACTTCTGTCATCGATGATATTATAAACTCATCACCGTTGAGCCACCTTTGACGAACTGTACTATGTACCTGCCCTCACAAATAAACACGAGTAAATTGTACAAATGGTCCCTCAACTTTAATCAAATTGGAGCAATGGTCCCTCAACTAAAAATTCATTACCTTTGGTCCCTCAACTTATCAAAACGTGCAGCTATGGTCCCTCAACTAAAAATCCATTACCATTGGTCCCTGAACTTTAATTCAAGTGGAGAAATGGTCCTTTAACTTTAACCCAATTGTAGCAATGGTCCTTCCAATATAACTCGTTTTGACAAATTTTTTGACATAGTTGACAAAAAGAACCATAATTATACACTTTGATGAGTTAATGAACCCTAATTATATAAATGGTCATTCCAACATAGCTTATTTTGACAAAATTTTGACAAAATTGATGAAAATGACTATAGCTACACATTTTGATAAGTTGAGGGACTAATGGTAATGAATTTTTAGTTGAGGGACCATTACTCCAATTTGATTAAAGTTGAGGGACCATTTGTACAATTTACTCAATAAACACACGTATCAATTCTCGTATAAATCGCCCAACAAGTGAAAAGCAATAACTAAAACTAACAAGTAGGCAATGTTAACCTTCCCAGAATCGCTTGGATTCTCGGCATAGATGAGGTGAAGAGGCGGAAGAAGACTAACATCCATGGGTGTGTAAATTCCATGCCCCAATGTATCCATGTCTTCCTTGGCAAATTCCTAGGAACTCAAAAAGTTACCACATGTAATGGATGAAATTTAAAAAGAATCCTGGTAAGGAATGGTTGAAATTCGAGTACCATGTAAACAAGGCCGCCATAAACCTGCGCCACGCGATCTTGAAGACCGGCAACAATTCCAAGTTGCTTCTCGGCATTGAGGATGAGGCCGGGGCGGACCTCCACTTTGATTAAATGCCTAACCTTGTGGAAGTCAAGAAGGCAGCTCAGGGCTGCACACACAATCGCACTAGACCCCGAAAGTCCTGTCTGAAATTGAAATCGGAATCTCAAACTCAAACTATCGAAATCACTACTCACTTGAATCACTAAACTTTAATTACGAGTGTGATTAAAATTTAGTTAATTAAGATTTACCTGGCGAGGGATATTCGTATCATACGAGAGAGTGAAATTTCGAGCTTCCAATTCAATCGCATTTTCCTTGCAATAATCAACGAACACTTTGCAAATCGCCATCAGCAATCGAACACCTCCATAATATCCCTCACTATCTAACCGATTCACCTGTTCGATTTCGGTTTTCCAATTCAATCACATCTCAAATCTTGAATTCAATCACAGCAAATGGAAATCTCGATTTAATTGCAAAATTCAATTCAAAATTAGGACTAAAACGCAATTGCGAAATTGAAATGGCGCGGCGACGAACCAGGTGATGGAGGGATCGGAAGACGACGAGGTCGTGGGTGAGGTGGGGCTGGATTACGAGATCATCGGACGGTTGCAACCGCACGGTGGCCCAGAAGTTACTGGCGGTGAAGGAGATCGTGCGGCCGTAGTAGACGTCGCTCGGGTTCCCCAGCAGGCCCACCCTCGCGTACGCCCTGTGCTCAATCACCGCCGCTTCCGCCGACGACGTCGTTTTGTGGTGCTCGTCCATTTCGACTTCAATTGTTCAGCTCACTGAAGTGATCCTCTCCCGCCGCGTGAAGGCGCAGTCATTGGAGGCGGCGTTTGCTGGGCCTGGCCCACTTCAATTCTTGTTTATCCAGCCACGTCACTAGTGACGAGGGAAATCTCATTGGGATCCCACTTCTTACAGCTTTTACATTCTTTCTATCTGTTCCCTAACAAAATTGTACCAACGGGTCCGCCAGCTTTAACTGAACTGACGCAATAATTCATTAACTAAAAATCCGTAATTATTAATCAGTAACTCACCAAATGTTTATGGAGGAAAATTAAAGTACATAAATGATACCAAACAAATAAACAAATAATTTGTTTTATACTTATTAAATATTACAACACAAACTTTCAAAGACATATTTTAAAAATTACGACGCTCTTTCACTTTTTAAAGACACAATTTAGATCACTCGCACTAGTTTATACAAATGCACCTATCTCATATTTACAGTCTTGCACAACCGACTTACCGAGTCGGTGTAATTGGACTTCTTTCATTTAAGCCACAAGTTATGGTTATTCTGGATGTTTCTACCACAAAAACATTTTTCTATACTTTCCTAGTCTAGATTTTTCTACCACAAAAACAGTTTTTTGTATTTTCCTAGCCTAAGTCGGTGGACTTGGCTTGGCCATCTTGTTGCCCTACTTGGCTAGATTTTTCTAGAATAATTTCAGGCATGTTTGAGCTAGAACAATCTAGTACTTTTATACCAACTGAGCTTAATAGGTTGGTGTTGATCTTCAACAACGTGCAGCTATGATCATTTTCGTTAACTCTGTTAAAATTTCTGTCAAAATAAGTCATGGTAAAAGGACCATTGCTATAATTGGGTTAAAGTAGAGGGATCATTGCTACAATTTTCTCATTTAATTTTTCATATTTGCACTTTGATTCAAACTCCTCATTTTGACGGAAGTTGACAAAAAATACCTTAGTTGCACATTTGGACCATTACTCCAATTCAGTTAAAGTTGAGCGATTATTGCTACAATTGTCTCTTTATAAAACACAAAATGGGCAAGAGAGAGACTCACTGATAAAATAGATGCACACACACTTTCCGGGTAATATTTCCAGCGTGTACTTCCTGTGAACTAGCGAGCTATCTTTTGGCGTCGGGTTGTTCTTAAGTGTATTATGTATAGTAACAAGCGGCAATCGGATAAAAATCCTTAGGAGGCCTGAAGATTGATTATTGTAGTCCATTTCAAAACATCAATTACAATTCAGTTTCCAAAAAAAAATATATCAATTACCATTCAAGACTCGTTAGATAAATAAAGCATTGAAAAAAAATGAAAGGAGAAGTTTAATTATACTTGACCTGCTTAACCCCTTTGAACTCGCTCCTTCCAACTTCTTCTGTCCATCGCCAGATTCTTCCATTCCCTTCCTCATCTCCGCTTGACTGTGCCAACCCCGTTCAAATTGTTCAGTCAATTCAAAATTAGGACTAAAACGCAATTGCGAAATTGAAATGGCGCGGCGACGAACCAGGTGATGGAGGGATCGGAAGACGACGAGATCGTGGGTGGGGTGGGGCTGGATGACGAGATCATCGGACGGCTGCAACCGCACAGTGGCCCAGAAGTTACCGGCGGTGAAGGAGATCGTGCGGCCGTAGTAGACGTCGCTCGGGTTCCCCAGCAGGCCCACCCTCGCGTACGCCCTGTGCTCAATCACCGCCGCTTCCGACGACGACGTCGTTTTGTGGTGGTCGTCCATTTCGACTTCAATTGTTCAGCTCACTGAAGTGATCCTCTCCCGCTGTGTGAAAACGCAGTCGTTGGAGGCGGTGTTTGCTGGGCCTGGCGCACTTCAAATCTTGTTTATCCACGTCACTAGTGACTTGGTAAATCTCACTTCTTACAACTTTTACATTCTTTCTATTTGGATGGCACAGTCCTGTTTGGCCCGGTTTCACCCTCAAAACGAAATCGGAATCTGAAAATTTCAACAGTTCGGTTCAGTACAATTCCGTTTAAATTTATTACTAAAACTGTACAGTTAGATTCATGACGATTCCAGTTCGGTTCATGTTGGTTTACGATTCTAACCAAATATATATATATATTTTAAAATTTCTACTTTTAATAACAAACACATATTTCAAACACAAATTCAAGTAAATTTGAGTTTCCACTACTAGATCTACAAGAATGGTGACTGGAAGATAGAAAATGTGCATATAAATATAAATCAAAAGATTGAAATGCTCATATCAAGGCCAAAGTGTAGATATTAAACTAAAACTAAAGTGTACACAATGCATAATATACTGAAAAAGAAAAAGAAAAAGAAAAATAATGTAGGGGGAGAGAAGTGAAGAAAAATATTGGGCTTATGCACATGGTATTCTTGAAAAAATGTCTTACTTATATAAAAATAATAATAAAACAATAATTTCTATTAAACGCGGTTCGGTCCGGTTCCTCCGGTTCTTAATATTTCCAAACCAAAACTGGAACCGTTTGAAACGGTTCGATATAGTTTTTGTTCCGGTTTGATTTTTTGGTCAACGCGGTTTTTTTCACGGTTCGATTCGGTTTTCTGGTTTGACGGTTTTTATGCCCACCCTTATTTCTATTTGTTCCCTGAAAAAATTGTACCAACGGGTCCGCCAACTTTATCTGAATTGGAGCAACAATCCATCAACTAAAAATCCGTAAAAATTGACCTCTTAACTCATCATATGTGGGTTGAGAAAAATTAGAGTACACAACTCTAACAAGAGTTAGAGAGATGAAACAAATAAACACATTATTTATATTACCTCCATAAAATATTACAACACAAACTCTCAAGAACCCACTTTAAAAATTATGACGCTCTCTTAGAGACCCTCTAGATCGCTCACACCACTCTCACTTCTAAGTTTGTTTCTTGGTTCTCTTCTTCCTTCTTACTTCTTTGTTACTTTCTCAGTTTATACAAATGCACCTACCTTATATTTGTAGTCTTGCTCAACCGACTTAACTAGTCGGTGGAATTGGACTTCTTTCAGTTTATACAAGTTGTGATTATTCTAGATTTTTATACCACAAAAACATTTTTCTTTACTTTCCTGTCGGTGGACTTGGCTTTTGCCATCTTGTTGCTATACTTTGCTAGAAAGTTCTGGAATGATTTCATGCATGTTAGGACTAGAACAATCTAATTCTTTTGTACCGATTAAGCTTAATGGGCTGATATTGATAATCAATGTGCAGCTATGATCATTTTCGTGAATTCTATTGGAACTTTTGTCAAAATGAGTCATGGTAGAATAATTATTGCTACAATTGGATTAAAGTTGAAGGACCATTACTACAATTTTCTCATTTGGTTTTTCATATTTGCCATTTGATTCAAACTCTTCATTTTGACAAAAACTTGGACGAAGTTGACGAAAAAGATTATAACTGCACATTTTGACGAGTAAAGAGACAAATAGCTACGGATTTTTAGTTGAGTGACTATTCCTTCAATTCAATTAAAGTTAAACGATCATTGTTACGATTTCCTTTTTATAAACAAAAAAAATGGGCAAAAGAGAGACTGATAAAATAGATGCATACACATGCACACACTTTTCGGGTAATCTTTGCAGCATATACTTCCTGTGAAATAGCGAGCTATCTTTTGGCGGCGGGTTGTTCTTTTAAGATCTCGTTTGACAATTTGAACTATACTGATTATTTATGTTGGATAGGATAAATAGTCACCGAATAGTATTGACTAAATTAGTCGGGTGTTTGGTGCAGTATCGGACTAATGATCGTATTATTCATACTATATCGAATATAAATTTAATGTAATTATCTAAAAACCCAAATACTTTTCAAATCCTAAACTTCAAAATTAAAAAGCAAATTAAAAAGCCCCAAATTAAGCAAAATCTATTTTTTTTAAATAAAAATAAAAAATTCCCCATATCAAATATTGTTCAACAGTCAGGCTGCAGACAACCAAAGGAACAAAATTACACAAATTAAATGTTGAGCAAAAATACATAAAAATACCAAAAAATTGCCCAGATGAAATATTGTTCAACAAGCATGATGGTAAGCCGCTTGGCATGGATGGCGCATAGGTTGGTGTCCTCAAACAGACCCACAAGGTAGGCCTCAGCAGCCTCCTGCAGTGCCAATACCGCGTGGCTCTGGAAACGCAGATCAGTCTTGAACTCTGGGCAATTTCACGAACAAGCCTCTGGAATGGCAACTTCCTGATCAAGAGATCAATACTCTTCTGCTACTTATGGATTTCACGAAGAGCGACAGTACCAGGAGAGCAGCAGTGCGACAGTACGAGGAAAGCAGCGACGAGGAGAGTGGCGACCGGGAGAACGACGACGACGAGAGGGACGACTTGCGAGAGGAGGTTTTATGGAGAACCAAGTATGAGAGAGAGGAAAGATTTATACCCGACTAATAATCCAATCCTTTTGGAAGGGTTTATTAACAAGGTGTATACCCGACTATCCTATCCGGCTGTTTAAATTAATCCGGTGACTATTTAATACGAAAGGACACCAAACGGCCGGGTTCATACTATTAGTCATATCCGATTCCTTATACGACATGCCAAACAAGGCCAGTGTATTATCTTGTATATAAAGCCAAGGCCACAATGAACAGTGATTTTTGTGGTCACAAGCTTTACAAAAAATAAATAGATAGAAATGTCATTCAAACAAAAAACTTCAAAAGCAATCCAAAATAATACATTAAATGTGGCAAGAGTATTTTCATCATTTTAATAGTGTTTTTTTAATCATGCTATTTGATCAATAACATAAACAAAAGATTCATGTGTTTTGAAGGCTGACTTATTATGGTAATACACGGTTATATAGAAAGTGTTGTGACCGTCTATGATTGTGATTGAGAATGTGCTTGAATGTGACTTGAACTGATTACATGACAAGTTGGATTCATCTTTAGTGTTGTTATTTTCAAGGATCTTGTTATATTGGTCTCCTACTACTGGGCGTAGTTATCTTTGTTTTCTTTCGCCACGTGGGTGTATACATCTTCATTGCTGTCATCATTAGCAAATTTGATTGACTCCTTAAAAGCGGAATAAGCAAAAATACTAACAAGGTCGTCATTAATTCAACTTAAATCGGTTTCATAATCTTCATAATTTTTTTGACTAATATGCCATTGTGCAAAGTTTCAACATCTTTTCCATCACTGTGGTAAGGGTGAGTTTGAAATATCAAAAACCGAAAAAAATCGGACCGAGACTAAAAAAAAAGGGAACCGAAGCTGTCAAATTGAACCGATATATGAAAATCATATATAAACTTAAAAACCTGGTGGTGTGAGGATTCGAACCCTTTTCCCCCAGGTTGGGAATGTTTGCTTCCAGCCAACTTGACCGTGGCCTTTGTATTGCTATAATTGTACCAGTAAGTAATTGATAGGGATTCTAATATTTAATGCTTTATAAAATTTCTGAAGTTTACAAACCCTAGCCGTCACTCCCCATTTCGTTTTCACTCAAACACACACACTCTCTCTCTCCCCTCCGCTGCTTTCTTCCTATCTGGTCTCTGCTTCCTCAGTCTTCTCTCTCTCTCTCCTTCCTCTCTTCCTCCAAATCACTCGCCCCTTTCGAATCGGAAGTCTCTCATCTCGCCGCAACTTCTTCTTGCCGTTTCGAGTCTCGACAGCAAAAGGTTAGTCTCACACTCTCACTTCTCTGTGATTATCCTTTTATTTTTTATTATCCTTGCTTGCATGTGGAATTGTTTCAGTTTCTGGGTGGATTTGTTTTAGTTTCTGGGATGGAGGAGGAGCCCTGCGGTACTAATTTGTATCGAGGAGGAATTGCGTTGTATGTGGTAAACACATTTAAAGCAGGACAACTAATTAATTTCTTCCACTAGATCAAGATAGGTTAAATTGTTGTAGTCTTGCTGTAAAAGATGGGAAAGAATTAGAAAAGAAATGGAGGTCTGAAATTCCTATTTCCCGGGGAGGACCTCATAGGTCTGTTCTGTCTTATTCTTGCTGCATTTTTGTATCATTGGCCTTGAAAAATGATCACATCAGATTAAATCATAATTTTTTTAACTTTTATACCAATGAGGATGATTGGCCTTCCAGATTTTGTGTCGTTGGCCTCCCAGACTTTATATCATTGGCCTTCTAGAATGGCTGCAAGCTTTGTGTTCTTAGGAAATTTGTTTGCTATTAAACAAATAAAAATAAAAAACGAACCAAATCGAACCGAACAGTAATTTTGGTTCGGTTTTCGGTTTTGGAAAAATACCGAATGGAACCGAACCCACCCCTAGTGGAAAGGTCTTGAGCCTCTAGACGATGGCGTGAGTTCAAATCCAATGATGACTAATCTAACATGTAATTTAATAAAATCTATCATTTGACAAAATAAAGATTATAACATGAGAAAATATTGAAAGAAATTAGTGACACATAAACCTAAACGAGAAAACATTAAAAATACACTAAAACAAGAATGGGTTGGCAGTTACTATAATCCGGCCCAAACCCGAGTGTTGCTAGGTGTTGTAGTCCGATCAAAACCCTAGCAGCTCTGCATAAAACCTCATTTCGCTGTCCTCCTTGCTTCATTTTGCATTTGGCTGCAAATTTACCCTCTCTCTCCGCACTCTGCTGATCTAGAGCCTTCTCAAGAACTCTCTCTCCCTCTGGATTTGAGAGACTAATAGCCATTTTTACTGATTAAATTTGTGTTTGACAAGCAGAGATGAAGGTGGTTGTTGCATACTTGTTGGCTGTGTTGGGCGGCAAGACCACCCCCATTGCCGAAGACATCAAGGACATCCTTGGCTTCGGTAACTTTCCTTTTACCTTTTTGTGGTTTCTGTTTATAACCCTAATTTATTAAGGTAATACACACGGTGCGTTGACATGTAAACCTCGTCAAGAATATTTTGATAAATGATACCAAGTGCAGCATAAAGCTTGGTAGACATCATTGTGTTTATAGAATGTATTTCATATATCAGAGTGGTTAACATTAGTTGGTTTTTGCCATATATTATATATATGTTAAACAAAGTCTATGCAAATCCTTAAAGATTCGCACCTAAGCTAATATATTAGTAATTGGCGTGTTGAGTTTCCACACATATGTCCCATGTTTGAAACTACTCTCTTTCTAATTGGTTTTTTTGTCAAATCCCCTCTTTCTAATTTATTATATTAACTTCGAACACAACAATAAAAACAGCGTCGTTCGTGCCTCCCTGAGAGAGAAGGGAGGAAGAAGAAGGCGGATGCAATTGCAGAAGCAGCAAACCTAATGGAAATGGAAAGCTCTGAAAAGAAGATGACATCTGAAAATTCCTCCTCACCGAAGCCAAATTTCGAAGGTAATTAAAATCGATCGGTTTTTTCATTCAATTCAATTCTTGATTGAAATCGATCGACCGACCGATCGAACTTCTTTTTGTTTTTGTTTTGCAGATCCTATGAAGCTGAACCCCTCTCGCACTTGGTATCACTTCTCTCTCTCAAAATACAATTTGGAAGCACACATATCCATTTTTTTTGTTATCTCTACCTTTCATATTTTCAATTAATTTTATGCAAGGGTCCAAAAGACGGTAGTATCACTTTAAACCCTAACACTAAGTATTCATCACACTAAACCCTCTAGGACAGTGGTGTATTAGAATAGGAATGCGATTACTATATCTATATTCTATTTCTTGCTTAATTGTATTTCCTATTGTAAACAGGGCAAGAGTTATTGTTTTCCTTACCTTACTAGGATTACTTGTTTTCCTTACCTTACTAGGATTACTTGTTTTCCTTACCTTACCAAGATCGTATAACTATAAATATATGCCTCCACAAGGCCAAGAATACAACCCATGATATTCTCATAAGTATCCTAGGCTCTATATTTTAATAGATTCCGAATTTTGGATTATGAAGATTATGAAGATTATGAAACCAATTTAAGTTGAAATTAATGACATCCGTGAAAATAACAACACTATATATGAATCCAACTTGTCATGTAATCAGTTCAAGTCACATTTAAGCACAATCACAATCATAGACAGTCACAACACTTTGTCTCCGTAACCGTGTTGAACATTCGTCTCATGCTTACAGAAGAAGGGACTCAATTACATTACAAGCAGTCCAAATTTAGAAGTAGCTTTTTATCCAACATTATCTTGATCTCCTTGACCCACCCCTCTTTCTCCTTAATGTATGGTTTTCTTAAGAGACACTTCGCCTCTGCAGTATGCATGTTATCTTTCCATTCTAGCTTACACCACGTTGTTGTCGCATACTGTTCAGTCGCTTGGCCTCAAACCTAACCACATAATATCCGGGACAACTAAATTGTAGTTGTTATACGCCAATTGCACAGAACACCACTTGTAGGTGGAAAATATTTCTATCCCCTTCGGATTATAGTCCATGAGACCAAGTAGGCATACAAGACTATCATCTGCCCGTTATTATGATACATAGATAATTTTTATGGAACCTTTTGGGCACCAATCTTTCAAAGATTGTATTTTTTTTTTCAACCACCAAGATAAAATTAGCATCATTCCTTATGTTTTGAATTCGATCAATAAAGGATGAGATGTTAATTCCGGTGCTAAGCTCGCAATTTGTAATAGCACCCTCGTATTCATAGGTCAGAGGACCAATGATCATACCCCTTGACTCGAGCTTAATATTGAGAGAGTCGAGTGCATTGAAACATGCATGCTATCTGATGAATAGTGTCAGCACAAAAGTCGTATATTTTGAATGTTGACTTATCAAGATAATACAAACCGCGCGGTGACATGTAAACACTATCAATGAGATTCTGATAAATAATTCCAAGTGCAGCAAAAACCTTGGTAGATTTCGTGATGATATGAGATGCGTTAAACATATACCTTCCTTGCGCCACACGGCTCGCTTTTATCACATACTTTGCGTGCTTAGGTGATTGACTTGCCATAAGGACAATCATGCGGCCTTGCAAGACGTTGGAAAGATAGCTCTTGATTTTACCCAACATTTGAGAAGGGGTAAAATTCAGGGCCTCGTTATACCGATGGGCCCTTGTGGGGATAAGGTCCATTAAAGGTTGGTTGTGGAAGCTCTGTCCAAGCTTTGCAAGCATGTGACGGATGTTCAACATGGTCATGGAGACAAAGTTTTGTGACTGTCTGTGATCGTGATTGGGAATTCGTTAAGTGTGGCTGTAAGTGATTGCATGACACGTCAGAGCTCATCTTCAGTGGTGTCATATCCAGGGATGTTGTCACCTTCAGGGATGTTGTTCCCTTGGTCTTCTACTGTCGGGGCATGGTCGTCTTCGATGCTTTCTTCTACTATATGGTCGTACACATCTAGGTTGCTGTCATTGTTGGCAAATTGGAAACAATGATAGCGACTGTCGGGCAAATTTGTCATTATTGGTAAATTGGTCGTACACATCTACTGTCTGGCCATCCAATTTGCCAACAGTGACGTCAACCTAGATGTGTATGACCATATAGTAGAAGAAAACATTAAAGACGACTATGCCCTGATAGTAGAAAACCAAGGCGACAACATCCCTGGAGATGAGCTCCAACGAGTCATGCAATCACTTGTAGCCACCTTCAACGACAATCCCAGTCACGATCACAGACGGTAACAACACTTTGTCCCCATGACCAAATTGAGCATCCGTCACATGCTTGCAGAGCTCGGACCAGGCTTCCGCAACTAACCTTTAATGGACCTTATCCCCACAAGGGCCCACCAGTATGTCGAGGCCCAGAATTTTACCATTTCTCAAATGTTGGTTAAAATCAAGAGCTATCTTTCTAACGTCTTGCGAGGTCGCATGATTGCTCCTATGCCAAGGCGATCACGAAAGCACACAAAGTATGTGACAAATACGAACCGTGTGCCGCAAGGAAGGCATATGTTTAATGCATACCATCACAGAATCTACTAAGGTTTTGGCTGCACTTGATATTATTTATTAGAATCTCATTGACGGTGTTTATATGTTATCGTGCGGGTTGTATTACCTTGATAAGTCAACGTTCAAAACATACGACTTTTGTGTTGATGCTATTCATCATACAACATGTATGTTTGAATGCACTTGACTCTCTGTCAATGTTAAGCCCGACTCAAAGGGTATAGTCGTTGGTCCTCTGACCTTTGAATACGAGGGTGCTATTGCAAGCTTATGACCGGAATTAACATTACATCATTTGTTGTTGACCGTATTCAAAACATAAGGAGTGATGCTAGTTTTATCTTGGTGGTTGAAAAAAATAAAAATCTTTGAAAGATTGGTGGCCAAGAGGTTCCGTGAAGATTATCTATGTATCATAATGACAGCCTTGTATGCCTACCTGATCTTTTCTCAAAAAAATCAAGGAGGAATTGGAAATTTCTAGCTTTTGGTCTAGTGGACTGTAATCCGAAAGGGATAGAAATATTTCCACCTACAAGTGGGGTTTTGTGCAACTGGCATATGACAACTACAACTTATATTATGTGGCTAGGCTTGAGGCCAAGCGACTATGAATAGTATGCAATACCACTTGTGTAAGTTGGAGTGGAAAGACAACGTGCATACTGCAGAGGCGGAGTGTCTCTTAACAAAATCATACATTTATGAGAAAGAGGAGTGGGTCAAGGAGATCAAGATAATGTTGGATCAAAAGCTACTTCTAGATTTGGACTGCTTGCCGGAGAAGGGATTCCATTTCAACAGTATTTCTTCTCGGACAAATCAGAAGAAAGGAATATATATAGATAAAATCTTTTGTTCGTTGTGAACTTGATATTTTTGTGTTACAACTTACTACTTCAGTAGAAGAGGAAAGACTTAGGCATATGTTGTTGTCTGACAAAGGATGTTTTCAGAATTGTTCTACTGCTTGTTCCGGGAAATGTTAATTATCAGTTTGCAATCCATTTTTTTCCCTTTATCAATTCTTCTTGTTGAGTTAGTCCACATATTCTTCTTGCTACCCTGAAAATAATTGGATTTAGATGTTTTTTCGTGTTAGGATCAATTGAGCCACTCCATGTTGACAATTACTCATTGGGGCCCGTTAACATGTAACAGAAAGTTCTGGATAGACCAATCCCAATTTTCACGATATATCTGACCATTGTCCCGGCACATTGAAGAATTTCTTCTTTAATTTGTGTAAATTACCTTGAAGCATTTATGTGTCCACTGCATGTGGGTATTACTGTTTTAACTGACGCTTTAATGTCGAATACGAGCCAACAAGATCCTCTCCGGATTCTCTTTGTGAGGATTCCGGAGATCCGTGAATCATGTATTTGCATATCGTGCGGTCAGTTTTCGTTAGATACTGTTTGTGTTTAATTTTAAATAAATAAAAAATCAAAATAATTCTGATCGCACAATGCATGTTAAACAGACACGATCAAAGAGGATCTGGATTCAAAGACTAGAATTGTTTTGAACTCTGTTGAGCAACTTCCGCAGACCGGAAAGGTTGACCAAAAAGAAAAGGGAGAAACTTCCACCAGAAAGAGGCCTGCAGATGTTTTGGATCACATGCCCGCTAGTTCCCACTAACTTCCAAGTTTCCCACCAGAAGGAGAAACCTTACAAAATGAGATTTCTCCTCTGCAATAAACAAATATACACGATTTCCATGTGTCTATGTTGGAACGTAAAAATTCGGGTGCTCCAATTATTCACCAACAAGTAATCTTGAACATGTTGAGAAGCTTTACACACCATCTTTGCCTGCCATCAATGAGGGAGGACGACCTGCAATAAAACATTCTGAGGTCAAGTCAGTATTTGATTAGGGTGCATATAAAATATAGAACGATCTCAAACCTCTCTCTCCCCGCTAGTGTGATTATTGGCCTTTTTATAGGCATATAATGCTTGGGCTCAAAGTCCCACTCTCCTATTTCTCCATGTTCCATGGACATTTTGATCATGCTCCTTTGTTTTAGGCCTCGTTTGGGAGCTTAGATTGTACTGATTATTTTAGTCAGATAGGATAATCTGCCATTGTACCATACTGACTAAATTAGTCAGACGTTAGGTGCAGTATAGTACTAATGACCGTATTATTTATAATGTATTTGGTACCATACTGGATAAGAGATCGGATTATATTATTTTTACGAAAAAAATTTGATGACTAATGAAAATAAGGGATTTTGAAATTTGATATTGCATTTTTACAACCAAATGCATCAAATTAAAAAATAAAAATAATCTTGTTTGTCATTTTGAACTTTGATATTGCATTTTCTATTTGTCCTTTATTTAAACCAAATTGTAAAATAAACAAATAAAAATCCTTTCTTCCCCTGATATTTTCCACCGCACTGCCCCCAGACATCCTTACTCCCTTCTCCTTACCAGTTCAAGTAAATCTCCCCCCTCTATACATCTGCAAGAGTCTTCGACACAACCGAAGAGGATTTGAGCTGCAAGTCAGACCTCAACAGCGATGTCGTTCTTGCGAGCTCAGGCCCCAGGGCTCTTGTAGCAAAGTAAGACATGGCGGCCATAGGCGTTGACGATGCCAGAAAGAACAACGACGGCGAAAGGAGGTGTCGTGGAGAACAAAGTGCGAGAGAGAGGGAAGGGAACCAGACTAATAATCCTCTCCTTTTGGAAGGGTTTATTATGCAGGTGTATACCTAGTAAATAAGCAGACTGACTAAATTAATCCAACACTATTTAATACGAGATGACACCAAATGACCAGGTTGTATTATTTGTCCTATCCGGTCTCTTATACGACCCACCAAACGAGGCCTTAGGGTGTTGAGGGAAAACGTTTCTTTTGCAAAAATTCATTCAACCTGAGATATCATCATGAGTTTAGCCTTCGGTCATCAACCATAAGTTTGCCCTTAGGCTACGATCATATTGGTCTTCGACCATGAGTTTGGGTCTTCGGTCTTTCCAAGTCTTCAACCCACGGTCTCATGATCTTTGATCGCCAATGTATGTAGTAATAGCCTGCCCCCAAAGTAATTGATATCTGAACAACATAAATATTAACGACATGTGTAAGATAGAGACCTTTATCTGTTGGGCAACTTTGTTCTTGGCGAAGCAAATTAAGTGCATTTTCCTTTGCTTACAAGCCTTGAACACATGTTGAATACATAGGTTGTCGATCTTCTTCATGTATAATCCCCATTCTGATGATGTGGGAAGATGTATTCGACAAATTTCTCTGTGCTCTTATCAAACGTGATATTTGCCCACATTCTAAAAAGCATCATTTCAAGATGTTATCTTAATTATTAGGATCAAATCGCCCTCAATAAATAAGATTTTTATTTTTAGGTTGCTGGTCCAAAATTCTTGCAGGAGGATTAGTCAAAAGGACTAACTTGCTGGTCCAAAAAAATAGTTTCTTATAGTTAATATACGTGGTGCGATAAGATTGGATTAGTGGGACCATATTAGCATAGTAACAAAAAATATTGACGAGACGGAAGGACTAAATTGATGTGCGGTAGTGAAAGTCAGTGACCAAATTCATCGGTTTTTGAAAGTCAGGAACCAAAATGAGGAATTTGATCAATGTCAGGGACCATTTGTGATAAAAATCCTTATTTTGTGTAATTCACACGTGTCACCATTTTATTGGGTTTGTGGGTTCCACATACAAACTAACATAATAGTTGATGGAATCTAAACGGAATGACCAAATTGATGTGCGATAGTGAATGTCAGGAATGTCATTGATTGGTTTTGAAAGTGAGGGATCAAAATGATGAGTTTGATTAATCTTAAGAACTATTTGTGATAAAAACCTTTTAGAATATTGTATTGCAGAGTGCAAATAACAAAGAAAATGGCCGCAGCCCCGAACGCGGTCCAGACATAACGCATTAACGTGTGCCTGGTTTGACTTGCCTCATTTTTGTAATCCTGCAAAAGTTTAGCATTCACATCTTTGATTCATACGTTTCAGACTCTCCTCACAGTACAAATGTACAATATTATGAAAGTTAGACATGCTGAAGCATACGATGTTTTACCGTAATGGTAAAAAGTAATTATGTTTATGTATTTTGGTGCAGGCTCGTTCCCCACTTATTCTGTTCCCCCTATGATGGAGGACAAATGACATAATGGATTGAAAAGGAAATGGACTGTTTGAAGACAAAATGACGCAGTGGGAATTTACATGCTTAGCATCTGAGCTCCTATTTTGGCCCATTGTACCTTTTCAGAAAAGGAACGAGGCCAAGAGTCCAACTCACCACTTTGTTGTGACATACGATGAATTTTAGCCATCCAGAGTTGTTTCAGCTTCCAAAACGGTGTTTAAAGTTTCGTAAGTAAAACTGATGGATTTTGGCCATCCGATTAGTGTTTAACTAATGTTGTTTTAATTCTTAGAAGTTGTTTGAGTTGTTCAAAGCATTGTAATCTTTATGAAAGTCATCTGGATGTATCATTAGCCGATTAGAAAACAATATATATATATATACTAAGCCAAGACAATATAGCCAGAAAAATGCTCAATCCCAACATAAAAAAACACAAACAAAAAACGATATCATACCATCCCGGCCAGAAGCGGCATCGCTAGAGAGAGAAAAAGCGAGCAATCAACAAACCAATATGCTAGCTCCAAGAAAGCATACTAAGACCAAGCAGCAAAGAAAGCTCATTAGAAACAACTCTTCAGCGAGGTTCCTCGGCCCTCACTGACTCCACTTTCACTTGCATCTCCCATTAAAAATATTCGAAGCAGGTCTCATCGTGGTTTTCACAAATCTGACAAAATATTCAGATAAAAAGAATTATGACAAGACAACGTCAACTGGGAAGTAGAACAATAGATTCATGCAAATACCTTACGATGGGCCCTCATCCTACGATCCCATTTTCTCTCAGATTCCTTAACGTCATGTTGATCCTACAACAATAGAATGTGAAATTCAAAACTTGCAAGTCAATTTGGGGTTCGGGTCGGGGTTGGGAGTAGACCTGTAAACGGGTCGGATATATTGGGTTTGGGTCGGGTTGAATCCGACCCGTTAAGTTAACGGGTCACCCGAACTCGACCCGTTAAGCTAACGCGTCACCCGTTTCACCTGTTAATAATTATTTTTATTTTTATTTTTTGCATAAAGTTTATTTTTTGTCATTAAGATTTTACTAAAATTACTAAAATATCATCAACTAACGGATGCTAACGGGTGTTAACGGGTCTAACGGGTTGACCCAAAGTGACCCGTTATTTAACGGGTTGTTAACGGGTTCACCCGTTAACGACCCAACCCGTTAAGCATCCACCCAAATACAAATATTAACGGATCGAGTCGGATCGGGTTAACGGGTTGGGTCCAAAATGCCAGGCCTAGTTGGGAGGTGGGAAGGAGCAGAAAATTTATATAAAAAAACAAAAAACAAAAAATGGGCAAAAGAGAGAGAGACACTCACTGCTAAAATAGATGCATACACATGCACAAACACTCTTCGGTCAATCTTTCCAGCGTATACTTCCCGATGAAGTAGCCAGCTATCTTCTTGCGGCGGCTTGTTCTTAAGTGTATCATAGTAACGAGAAGCAACCGGATAAAAGTCCTTAGCAGGCCTGAAAATTGGTTCTTTTAGACCATTTCAAAATATAAAACCGCCATTCAAGACTCATAAGATAATTAGAGCATAAAAAAGATGAAATAAGTGGGAGTTTAATTTCAATTATACTTGACCCGCTTAGTCGCTGGCCTCCTCAACTTCTTTCCATCGGCCAATTCTTTCATTGCCTTCCTCACCTTTGCCTGGAGCATATACATAGTGTTAAATAACTTAATTGTAAACACATGTGAATTGACAACACACACTTTTGTTTATGAAGTATTTGAGGTTCCACCATAAAATCAACTGGCAATATGGAAAGTAGCCAAAGATTCATTCTCAACACGACCCCTTACGTGTGAGACAACACAAACCGGATGACGTGGAGCGCGTGTGTCGCCACTGAGCTTCACACGTAGGGCAAGCTACTATACTATCGTGAAGAAATTGAAATTTCACCATAAAGCAATTGACAATATAGAGACTAGACATTGTATTTAGAGAGAGAGAGAAGCCATACCAAGAGCGACAGGGAGTTCAGCTCTGCAAAACAAAAACAAAAAAAGTTTGATCGATCCATCGATATTAATCAAGAATTAAATTGAATAAAAAATAATAATTTACACACGAATTGAATAGAAGGTTATGGTCGACCGATCGATTTTAATTACCTTTATAATGTGGAATAGATGAGGAGGAAGTTTCAGATGTCGTCTTCTTTTCAGAGCTTTCCATTTCCATTAATTTTGCTGCTTCTGCATCCGCCTTCTTTTCAGAGCCTTCCATTTCCAATTTTTTTGCTGCTTCTGCATCCGCCTTCTTTTCAGAGCCTTCCATTTCCATTAATTTTGCTGCTTCTGCATCCGCCTTCTTCTTCCTCTCCATTTTCTTCCTCTCCTGCTCCCTCAGGGTGCGCACGACCGATGTGACCTCCCTCTCCACCCTCTCTCTGTGGAAGAAGTCGCTCCCCCGAGCCAGAAATGCCAACGCCTTCTCCACAAACTCTAGGGGGTTCGACCGATCCAGTTTCGCTGAAAACGACGGCGCTTTAGGTGGCGGCTGGATATCGGAGATTGTCGCCATGGATTCTATAAAAGTTGGAGGGTTTCGATTTCAAGTGTGGTGATTTATAGGGTTCAAGGTTTTCTGATTTGAGAGGGAAGATGGGGGAGTATATATAGTTGAATTTGAATTGGGTGTAGTCAAGTGGTCAAATTTGGGAAGAGATCCCTCCCGATCTCTCCCAACAGTTAACTTTTGAAATTTTGATCTAATAATTATAATTATTATAACTTTTAGAAGTACAAATCTTCTACATCTAAAAATCTTTGTGGCCTCTCTGTTCTTTGATTTTATTAAGCATGTCAACAGTCACACCCAATCAAATCAAGCTTCAAGTACCAAATCCTAAGATATGCTCAATAAAATCAAAGGCACAAAGAGGTCACAAGGGTTTCTGGGTGCAGAAAACTCTCTCTCAACTTTTAGAAGGGTCTTTATTTGTAATCATTAGATCAAATTTCAAGGACTCGAATCTCTAAATCCCTAAGATTTGGTGGGAGAGATCCAGAGGGATCTCTTCCCGTCAAATTTGAATTTCGAAAGATTTTAAAAGACCTTTTAAATGAGTAGATTTAATAGTATTTTAAAGGATTTATATTTGATTAAATGAATCTATTTGAGAAGATTCATGGTATTTTAAATGATTTATATTTGAATTTTTTTAAGGGAGTTTTTTTTCTTTGTAATTTTATTATTAAAAAGAAAAAGGGATGGAATTATAATCATTTGGGATAACATAAGTTTTCAATTTGGAACACATAGGAAAACTCAATGTCTTCAAACCGATAACTTAAGGAAATCCCACAAATTTTTTAAAAATTTTAATACACATAGATTTGCATGGACGTTTAAAAATGTCAATTAAATTCCCAGTTGATTATACATGAATTTGTACGAATTTGAAAAATATCTTTTCAAATCTAAATGACTAATTTTCGCACCTATAGTTTCGAAACTACTAAATGGAACTCAAGAGTCACAAAAACATCCATAGAAGGGTATTAAACAATAGTCAATCTGTATACATATATTTTTAATTTTTTCCTTCAAACTTGTAATCAAATATCTCAAAAGCAAGAATCAGATCGATTAGGAGGACTAGTTGATACAATTCCCTTTCTTTATTTCTCCTATTTTTTTAGTTCTCCAATTAATTTATTGTTCCGTATGTGTCAAGTAAACATGCCCCAACTGGAATAAGCTGAATCAATCTTGGAACAATAACAAGAAATTATCTACTGTACAAATTCAACCAGAAATGTACACAAGGAGGAGATCACATGCTGGATGATGAGATCACGTGATGAAATAAAAACATAAAAAGGGAAATGCATCATCATCATCACCATCGTCATCAGTCTTCATCCTCCTCGCCGTCTCCGGGCAACCCCACGTCATCTCCGATATCTTCAAGCAGCTTGTCGACGTCCTCTCCTAACTCCAACAACCTTGCACTTAGTTTTTCCACCTTGCTCTGTTCTTGTCCGAGGCACACGAGGAGATCATTCAGTTCTGCCTCGCTCTCCTTCTGAGCTTCTTCCCTTGCCTCGGCTCTAATTGCATCCACATCGGGAATGGACGAAGACCCTCCTCCACCATTCTTAGCTCTGACCTCCTTCTCTAGATGGAAATTCGCCTGCTCAAGACTGTTGTAAGCATCGGATAAGCTCTTTAGATCAGATTCCATCTTTCCGGCTAAGTTTTTATACATGGATGCCTCGGACTCAAGCTTGGCTTTCTCTGCCTTGAGCAACTCCAACCGTTTAGATGCTTCTTGAAAATCTCGTTTAAGCGTCTCTACCTGAACTCTATCTGAGCCTGCACCCTGCTCAGACCTGGAACTTCCCCCACCAATCGTTGCCACATCCTCAGCTAAACTTGCATTGCGGCCAAGGAGGTCCTAAAAGAAAAGAACATCAAACAAAACATATTTCAATAATATAATCAAATGCATACTGCAGCAACAATTTGTTTGCGGGTGAATGAAACAAAGAAAATATAAAAACCAATTGTTCTACATTAAAATTTTAGACCTGTATCTCCGAGCATTGCTTTTCCACAAATGCTTTCAGCCGCTGTATATACTCTCCATCACTTTCCCCACTTTTCTGTTCCAGTTCTGCTGGCACCACTGCCACCTTGCTCTTCGGTTGACTGTACACCTCAACGATTTTTTCTCTGATGTTCGCCTCCAAACTCTTAACTAGGTTTAGAAATGGAGCATCAAAGATTGAGGAGAGAACCGGATGATCCTCAGTTTTCTGATCAGAGAGATCACTCTCATCAACATCTACCATACTAGCAGAAGCGGATCTGGTTAATTCTTTGCGAGGCTGAGCCGATTTTGAAGAGGTGAAAAGGAAGCTTTTCTGCATCTCATCGAACTTCAGAAAATATGACGTGAGCCCAACCTTCTGGCTTATGGAATCAACTATAGTAAAGGCGTCCTTCTCACTTTCAACTGAATTGTTGTAGATCACACACTCTCCCAGAAGAACAGCTGCCAACCCCTTTATGTACACTGTAGCAGTTGAATTGGAGACCAACTCAAGCAGATAAGTGATGTGGGGACGTGAATCTAGGAAGCAATTCACAGCGCTAGGGCAATCGGCCAGCCAAGTGACCAGCAATTTCAAGATAACTGGTTGAACATATGAGTTTCTGCTTGACTTTCCATCTTTATTTTGCATGGAAGAGGTAACAGCTAAGTATTTTACCACACGGTGCATTAGAGGCTCTGGTGCACCTAGAGATGGAGTAGGTGCCTCAAGTTCAATACGCAACACCTGCAAGTTTTTTAGACGAAAAGAAGATATTAAGACCAATCACCTTTCAACACAAAAAGATTAGGTGAATCAGATATTAGATTAAGAATATAACTGCATTACCCTTTCCTTGCACTGGAGATTGTCCTTCATTACATGAGAAAGAACACTAGCAGCTCTGCAGCATGTCTGCACCTCAATATATTAGGTAACAGAACCGAAATATTTTAGTCTTTCAAAAACTCAAATGCTACTGAACTGTTACATTACCTCAAGATCACCATCTTTCTCACTGAAGTTAAGACCTTGTAATAGCATGCTGCAAAAGAATCAAAATCTTACAATATCACTTAATGTGAGTAGCTTTTGCAACCTTGCGAAATGAATAAAACAAAAAAGATGATCAAGCTTTCGTTGATGCAACAAAGTTTTGATAATTCAACCTGAATAAATAACAAACAGAGAATTTAGAAGCATGCAGTGAAACTGCACATACTATAAACAAACCTTCCAAAAGACATGTTCACATCATCCTCAACGGGTGCATGAATCATGGAATGCGGTTGTGGAATCAATGTTGACGCTAACATAGTTTGGCCATCGACATTATTCTGATTTAAATGAGATGAAGAAATTTACAACAAAAGATTAGAAGTGAAAACTACACAATCAAGAAGATGTAATTTGCATTTCTTGCATGCTGGATGATATAAGAAGCATATACACAATGTCAACCTCACAAAATCTCTTAAAAACATAATCTGCTGCAACAAATTCTTGCATACTGGATGTCCGCAATATGATTCGAAGAATTGAGTTCAAAGCAGGTTCCTGTGGCCCCTCTCCAAGAAATTTGCTTGCAAGCGCATCAAGATTCTTGGGATGTCCAGCAATCAGATTACCAATGCATTGCAGCGCCTGACAAAGTGAATAAACTTAGCACCTGACAAAGGGAATAAACTTAATAATTCCAAATGGACTCAATGACTACAAGCCATTGAACGCACTATATAAACTTCATAAGTCAAATAAACCAAATGTGTCTTACTTTATAAATCAGTATTCATTTTCTCACATAGTATGTGACATAAGTTTCAGGGAAAATGGCCCAGAGTTCATGTAATTAGTCAAAAGTTATCTAAGGATAAGCTCGAATATATGATTATATAAAGGTAAAGAACTCTTTATGTCCTGCAGACGTTGATTGGTCATATACAATATAGTAATATACTATCGGACAGTGTTTGGTATGTGTCTGTTAGTGAGAAGAAAGTGAAGAAATATCTTACTGAACAACGGACAGCAACAGGAGCCCACTGGCTTTCCACACCCAGCATTAGAAGATGGTCCAAGACTTTTTTCTACACCCAGGAAATAAAAGATTAGAAACATCAGATATCACCAAATTTATATTCTAGTGAGACGGTACTATAAAAGTTGAAAATACCTGAACGAGGGTGGTTCTATTTGTTAGCTTATTTGCATCTTTTCCAGGATCAGCCTCCGACCCTCCCAATATTAGCAAATTAAGAGTTTCCAATGCACTGAGTAGATTAATTGTCTACTGGCATGGCATTTATTTTGAAGTCAACAACAAATGACCAGTAAGGTTTGTGCCATAACAAATATAAGTAAACAGTACAAAATTATGAATTTCGAGTATCTAACCTTTTGTTGAGTGAAACTGTAAGTACTCCCTCGTAGCTTCAAAATTGACATTAAGGGATCAAATCCCATTGTCTCCCTCAGTAGTATCTATACAACAAGCCTTTCAATTAGAAGAAAGAAGAAACAAAATATATAAATGACAACACTTACAAGAATAAAAGCTACAAATAAAACAAAACCTGATTAGATGCAGTGTTCCGAATAAGATTGTTCAACAATTCAATACAGTCCTGCAGAAGTGTATTACATTAGAAAAAATTTCAAAAGCAATTGATTTCTCAAATGCTTTTAGTGGTATTAGAAATTGATTTACAAAATAAGGGCATTTTATCTTCCAACACAAAGTATGCCAAATAGCAATCTCCCCCCTTAATCAAGGCAGTGGAACATGACCAAAATTAAGTGTTTTTACAACTTTTGTGTAAGAAACAAATGTTTGCATACTTTAAAGTGAAATAATGGTAAAACTTTCGATTCCTATAATCGTTGGTGCATATATTGGTATAATTATAAAGCTGAAATTTACCTATGAGAAAATGGCTTTTAGATTATGTTATTTTCAGAAAATTGATCCATACAATGATGCCTGACAGGTGGTTTACCAGCAATGAAGCTTAACCAAGATGTATAAACTATCAATTATCAACAGAGTTATAACAAAGAATCACCTGCACAACAACACCACCATCAGAACCACCTTCCTCTTTGATGATGCTGAAAATCTTTTCAAAAGCACCTTCAAAGACCA